GTACTGATGCATGTTTGTAAACATTTTTGTCAAGTTGATAATGTGAGATAAATGACTATTGAAAAAAAATCATGGTGTCTATTTACTTTTGAGATGTCTCTGTACAAATGAAAATATATCCAAGGTCTTATGTTATTTAAATTGTTGAAATATTCTCTATATTTTTCAAACCCATAACATTTATCATCATAAATAATTATAATAGCAAAACTCAGAAGTTATTATTGTTTACACTTAGCGTAGAACATGCCAGTTTTTTTACCAGTTAGATGCTCAAGTTTGTAACATACAAAATATGGATATTTTTAATTAGAGTTTAGTTACTCATAATAGCAGACATCAAACAGATCAAAATGGGTGCTTCTAAATAACTTGCATAAAAACAAAAGAAAGACTCACTGTTTCCATAACTAAGTGAATATGTCTGGTTTCATGTTGACAACTCTTGTTGAAAGTAAATAAACATTCAGTTCATGCTAACAACTGTTTTTATATTTACATGTATTTATATGTATGAAATTATAATAACAAATCCTTCTGTTAATCATCCACACAATGGAGTAACTTGCAGATTAAAAAAAGAAAACTTGCACTTAAAAATTAATCCAACATTAGGTCCATTACTACACCTAATGAAAACCAGTGTGCTTCTCTTTAGCCATCAGAAACAAAAACAGAAGCTATGACCATGCTAACCCAATGGTATAAAATAATTTTCTTTCTTTGTAATATAAAATATGGGTGTGTTTCCATTAAAATTGCAAAAATGCAGTCAGAAAAAAAAAAATTCAACCTGTACAAATTATGAAAATAATATTGATAAGCATATGATTATACCAGTAAGTTTATAAGATAACTTTCCTTTTATCCAGATGACAACAAATTGCAAATATAAAGCCTTTCAGTATTACTATTAAATATTTTATTAAAAAATCAAATTATGACATACACAGCATGGTCACAAGTAAATATACACCACCTTTTCATAAAAAATGAAATTTTTCAGTCATATTCACATGAATTGATATA